TTGCAAATTGTGATCCCATAATCCCTAGACCAAGGCTTTTCAACCTTTTCAGAGATTGTACCACTTTTAGGATATGAAAATATTCGAGTACCACTAGTTGCTTAGCAGGTGGGTGTGGCCTGCTCGATTCCATTCACTGGACACAACTGACTCAAGACAGCTGGGTCAGAAGAGAACAAGTTGCACTGGCTAACTTGATGTGGGAACAACTGAGTGCCCCACAAACTCCTCGCCTCCCCAAACTGCTAGCAGCCAAACACATGCATGCGCGCACACACACACACTGCATTCCAGGTTTGGGAACTTTTATCCACAGAGGAAGGAGAGGGCCTTCTCCCCAAGCCCAGGCATGATTGGCAGTTTGCTAGGTCAGATGTGGATACAGGTTTCCAAACTCTCTCTCTGTGTGTATGTGTGTTTGTGTGTATGTAGCACGCTAAAGAGAAGTTCTTTTCCCAGTCTCCGACATCATTACAGGTAGTTTCCCTCTCCGTGCCCCCTCCTGGCAAAGCACGAGGCGGAAGACGTTTGCAGGAAACAGTTTCCTCCAAGTCCAACTTCTATCTTGACAGATCTCTGGAGAGCAAGAGGAAGCGGCAGGGAGCAGTGCTCCCAGGTCCTGCACAAGGGAAGCTGGCCCTTCTCAAAAAGGAATTCCTATTTCCAATTGTGCATGGTAAGGATGCTGATTTGTTGGGGCAGCCTTCCCTCACACAGCTCCCCTTCCCCCCTCCTCCTCTCCAGAGATCTGCAGGGGAGACAGAGATCTGGAGAGCAAAGTGCAGCCTCCATATTGGCCACTTCTACCTCTCCAAGCCCTCTTCAATTAAACATTCATTATATATAAATTAAAACACAGCCAAAAAGAAAACAGCTAAATCACTAATTACAGCTCTTCACATATTTTCTGGAAAAAAACACCTTTATTGATGTTAGGAAGGAAGAACAAACCTTATTAAGGAACTCTTAACAGGAAGGGAATTGAAGACCCCAAAAGGTCTTGTTCTTTCTAATCTCCCTTCCCTTAGAATTTCCTTAGTTCTCATTATTTTATTATTATGTATTTAAGAAGAAGATCAAAGATCAAAGCTTAGGATAATCACCTTAAAATCAGAACCCAGAAAAAAATTAGTTAATCCATAATACCGCCCTATGAAGAATGAAGATAATTTTTGGGTCCTGAGAGCATGCAGGTGTCCAGTCAGAATATTAGTGGCACATTGTCACTATGCTTAAGTCCATGTACTTCCCTCCCCTGTCTCACAATCCATACATCCTTTAATTTTCAGACACTTTTTTTTCTCATAAGCTCCTTTAAAAATCCACAAGGTAGTGTAATTAGCAGGAAAAATAAATCTAGCACTCCCGAATTCTTCCCCCAAGGGGAAAGAAATGTTCACAGCCTGCAGGTTGCTAGCAAAGTCATCAAACAATATAGTTATTGCTGCTAAAGGCAAGAATAAATAACAAATTGATTTTGCAGCTCTCTCCTGTTACTTACATCCTTTTACCTCCAGAATGTGGCCTGGGATTGCACAAGGGGCTAGACTAAAATCCAGTTGAGTAGTTTGCAACCAGGTGTTCAATACAGATTTTGCTGAGGGAAGTTAGCCCAGAGAAGGAACTATTAAAAGGGCAGAAAAATATATTTTTCCTCAAAAGGATTTTTTAAAAACCAAACCTGGCCCCAAATCTATCTCTCTGCCCCAAGCAAGAGCTAGCCCCATACGAATGCAGATGTAAAAACCATCAGAAAGTTGAAGCCAGAGCACTCAAGAAGACAAAGAGAAAATCTGCATACCCCACCCAAACTCTAGGAGTCATTAGCCCCATCACCTGGGAAGCAGGATATAATAATAGGATTAAACCACAGATATCAAGGCCTAGACCAGTGGTTCTCAACCTTTTTAATGCCGTGACCCCCAACCGGTCGTAAGTCGAGGACTACTCAACTTACGTTTGCAGAATGGGACTTTTGGCGGGCTCAGCAGGGCAGAGACAGCCTGGACAATTCCTATTCAAGAGAGTCTATTCTATTGGCTTTCAAAAGCCAATAGAATAAAAGGGAGTAGCACAGCTAAGGAAAAGGGGGGAAAATGGCGGACTGCGTTGTTTGGCAACCCCCGTGAAATGGTCGTTCGACCCCAAATGGGGTCCCGACCCACAGATTGAGAACCACTGGCCTAGACAAACACTCAGAAATAGCCTCAAGGTTCATGCCACAGGAACAGGAAACTATTCCAAACAAGGCTAGAGGGTATAAAAACCTACTGCCCATGTGCTCAACTTCTCTTTCCTCGCATCTGCTCTTTCCTGCAAGGACCATCTTTCTGCTTCTTCAATAAACTGTAACCTTCTTCCCAAAGCAGTCGCCATGTTGCTTATTTATCCCCGGCTTGGATGAACCAGGATGAAGACTTACTTCTGACATTGCCAATGTGATTTTAAAAGCCCAGGGAGGAATAGGAAAACCTGAGGAAAACTTTGAATTCAATAAACCATGGTGGACTCCATTTGTTTTGCCCTATTTTGATTCTCCTCCCTAGCAGCAGCCCCTCAATTTCAGAACTGCATGGCCACAAAGATAGAGGCCTTCAGCCTTCCAATCCCTGCTTAGAGAGGGGTTTGCATTTCGGCCAGGGTCAGGCCACACGCCCCCAAAGGAAAACCCCAAATCCAGTGGGCCAGAAGGCAGCTCAGCCACCACTCCCCTCCGGTTCCTTCTCATCCTCTGGGCACAGACACAGCCGCTGCTCCTCACCACAATTGGGGTTGGACTTGGAAGTACCTCCATCCTGCAAAGCGGCGCTCCCCCAGTGCTCCTGCCCGCCACCATTCCGGCAGCCCTGATTAAAGGCCGTGCACTGCAGCCTCACCCAGCCAAGGAAGGGTGTGGCAGCCGAGACTACAGCAGATCTGCAGCTACCTCCTTCAGAGCCATCCTAATTCCGATGGGCTTGCCGGCATGGTGGCAGGCAAGAGCACTGGGTGAGCCGCGCTTTACAGGACGAAGCTGGCAGATCTATGCCGGCAGGCCCATCGGCATCAGGACAGGTCCGAAGGAGGTAGCTGTGGTGGGGAAGCAGGAGGCTTTCCAGCAGGTGCCACCAGGCCTGAAAACTGCGCTGCCCCTCCCCTTTCCAACCCTGAAATTGCAGAGTAAATTTGGGCAGCCTTTGAGCGCCGGTTACAAGCTGCAGATCTGCTGTAGCCTTGGCCACCGCACCCTTCCTTGGTAGGGCGAAGCTGGAGTGCACGGCCTTTAGTCGGGGCTGCCGGCATGACGGCGAGTTGGAGGGCCGGGGGAGCACCGCTTTGCAGGACGGAGGTACTTGCAAGTCCCGCCCCAGCTATGCCAAGGAGCAGCGACTGCGTCTGTGCCCAGGGGGCAAGAAGGAAATGGAGGGGTGCAGTGGCTGGACTGCCTTCTTCCCTGCTAGATTCTATGTTTTCCTTTGCAAGCTGGGGTGGGCCAGTCCTTCGCTGTCTCCAGGGTTGCCCTGGGCCAAATGTACACACGCCGCAGGCATGTCTATCTCCTCCTCCTTTTCCGTGTAGCTGCAACTGACTTCTTTCCCCAGGCTGCGCACAGCTTCCGGAAGCGCCAATCAGCTGGAGCCCAGCGTGGATCCTGGGTGCTCAGCAGAGCCCTGGCAACACTACGGCTCCAGCTGGCTCTCCCACAGGTCTGTACTGCGTTACGGATGCAGTTATCTTGGAAAGAATACCAAACAATGGCTTGCCACTGTCTCCTCTCAAGATGTTTTACCTAACCTGTTTTATTTCCAAGCCCAAAGAAATCAACCAAGTTCTGCCACTTCCTCTACAGAGCTATTTGCAAATGCCAATTCTTAAGTATGCATCTAATACAGTGGTTCTCAACCTTTTTAATGCCGCGACCCCCAACCAGTCGTAAGTCGAGGACTACTCAATCGGTCGTAAGTCGAGGACTACTCAACTGGTGCAGCACCGTTTGCAGAATGGGACTTTTGGCGGGCTCAGCAGGGCAGAGACAGCTGGACAATTCCTATTGGCTTTTGAAAGCCAATAGAATTAGACTCTATTCAAGAGAGTCTATTCTATTGGCTTTCAAAAGCCAATAGAATAAAAGGGAGTAGCACAGCTAAGGAAAAGGGGAAAAAAATGGTGGACTGTGTTGTTTGGCGACCCCCGTGAAATGGTCGTTCGACTCCAAATGGGGTCCCGACACACAGGTTGAGAACCACTGATCATATAGTATGTAAACAATAGAATAATCTATACTATGTCATGGACCAAACTAACCTTGTTGAGGTCTGATAACATTTGAATATCCAGAAAGCAGTATGGTACACTTCATAAAGCCCATTTTAATAAACTCTTCTAACAACAAATCTCAGCTTTATCTATTCTTTATCCAAGATAACTACACATTTAAAACAGATGCGTAACCTTTTTTTAATAGCCTTATACGGCCAAATAAAGAAACAATTGCAGGATGCAATATAACTTAGCTACGGTTTTTACAAACCCGATATCACTTTGAAATGAAAATATGATCTGCAAAAATAATTACAACAATGGAAAATATTTTTCTATCAAAAATATTGTCTGAAAATGAGAGCATCCTTAGCTTGGATGATCCCATGAGAAATACAGACTGTCCTCAACTTACAACAGTTCACCTACTGACTGAAGTTACAAAATCACTGGGATAAGCGGCTTGTGATTTTCACACTTATGACCTTTGCAGCATCCACAAGGTCACATGAACAAAATTTGGACGTTTGGCAACTGGTTCATACTTATTACCGTTGCTGTATCCCGGGGTAAGATGATCCCATTTTGCTTTTGACAAGCAAACTCAATGGGGAAGCCAGATTCACTTAACAACTGTGTTACTAACTTAATAACAGAAATTATTCACTTAACAAATGTAGGAAAGTCGTAAAATGGGGCAAAACTCAATACACGTCTTACTTAGCAACCTAAATTTTGGGCTCAATTTTGGTCATAAATCAAGGACTATTTGTATTAAGTAAGAATTCCTTTCCAGGTAGAACTGAAAATATAATCCTAAAACTAGAGTGCTTTGGTGTACTGTCCATATTCATATTTTATTGTGTGATTAATAGCAACACGTAATTTATACAAAATTTGTTTTGGTTTATTACAGTCAAAGATCAGCCAAAAATAATACAGTTCTGTACAAAATTAAAATTAAAACATAAATAAATGAACATCCTCAGTATAAATTAAACCCCTAACATCTTCTTGTGTAGTAAGCAAGGCAGCAAAATTTTGCAATCATGTAAATTTTCATCTTTCATACCAGTCAGTAGCAAAGGAGGCAGATAATATAGAAGAATCAGCATAACACATGCTAAATGGGCCTACCTCTAATATAGACAGCATATTAGGACATGGTTAACTAATCCCATCTCTTCGGACCACATAGAGAAAGACATTCTGAAAAAGGAAGGCTTGTTTATCGGTCCTGTAAAATGCTGAAAGTATCACATCAAAACACACTAGTATGCATGCCTTCCTGTTTGGCCTGAGCAACTCAGTGCAGATAGTTTGCCAGATTATCATCTTGTCTAAATTGCCAAGGATTAATGATACTTTTGTAAGACTATCAGTTTGGACAGCAATGTCCCATAGGTACCGTTGAAAGCAAAAGTTGGTAAGTGTAGGCCTATGATAACCATCTTCTACCCCATTTCATATAACCAACTCAGAGAATCAGAAGGATAAAGCCAGACTGTTGATATTTCAATTTGAGGTAGTACTGTACGTAATTTTCACTAACTAAACCTGAGTATCCATTGTTAGCAATCCCAATCCTGATTTTAAGGCAGCATTGCAAACACTCCTAGGGGCTCCCAAAACAGCATGCAAGAACTGAGTTTGAATTAATTGCAAAATTGTAGTTGTGCCCCATATAATACCCGAGAATTACTTTTCCATTAAACACTGGGATTATTGTCAATAATTTAAGATCACAGACTTTGCAAGGCCTCAGATTTAAACGCCTCATAAATAGCCAATCAAGTTCATCTACTCCACTAGTTTTCTGTGGCATGCAGTCAGTTTTCCTATCATTTTGCAATTGTACACTATGGCATACCTCTATGTTCTCTACTTTTACAGATAAAACAATAGGGAAATTGTCATTATCCATCCTAATGCATACCTCAAAACCCTAAAATGCAATGGCCAAATTTATTAAATATAATCATACAGTTTAAGTTATTAGAACTGCACCTTGTCAGGTGCAAGCAATCAAAACCACCTGTGAGAAGGCCACATTATATAGTTTATTGTTGACCATTTATATTACAAGAATCTCTCCAAACAGTCTGACTTTTCTTGGGAAACAGCAATATAGACCTAAAGGTTTGATCTCAGATGTTTCCTCCACCAAACAGATTCTAAGCCAAAATATCTCTTAAACCCCCTAGTAGGGGGGTTCCTCCCTTTCAGCCCGCAATTCCACACATCTTGAAACAATATGTTGTTCTCTAGAATCTAGATGGTCACTTATAGAACATTTAGGATTCCCATATCTAAGTTTATATAGCATCATTCCCACCCAAGGCATGGTTGGCTCCCACTGTGTTGCTTTTCTGAAAGGTCCTGAAAACATGGTTTTGTCAGAGGGCCTAGGCACCACCAATGGAGATGGCGTAGATCAAGTGCTTGATTTGATTGTGTTGTTGTAAGCTGCCCGGAGTCACCTGTGTGTGAGTTCGGCAGCTATATATGTTTGTTTAATAAATAAATAATTTACCATTTAAACCAATAATAGTCCTTTCCAACTGAATTTGGTATCCTCAAAATAACATGTCAGAAGAAACATTTCCTATTTCCTCAGGATTCGCTAAATTAAATTGGCGTAAAAAAAGGGTAGCACAATTTGGCCCCATGCCCCATTATTGAAGTTGCCTTGTAAATAACACAAGCATGTGAAAACCTCAATAAATTCTACACTGGCTAGGATTTAGCTTGATAACTAATTGGGGGGGAGGGCATAGAAATATTTACTACTTATCTCCTTTAAGTTTAAAAGGCAGGATAAGACAAAAAGTTCACAGGGGAATAGCTTGTATATCTATTTGAAGCAACAAAAGAACATACACAGAGAGAGAGAGAGAAAGAGAGATTCTCCCCTCTTCCTGTTCTTCTTTAGTGCTTCTTTAGCATTGATATACAACCACAGGTCATAAATGAATCTATATCTGCTTCATCACATAGCTTGTAATATCAGAACTTCAAAGGATTTAATGTAACTCAAGAATGGGACAATTATATATGTGTTTTCTGGAGAAAGAAAATTATAAAAATTGTTATCATTCTAAGTTAAAAGTGAGCATTGTTGCATACAGTTAACTAAAGTAGACTAGCTACTCCAAAGTGGATGCCGTCCAGGAGTGATGCACAGCCAGAGAGTAGGGATTATAGATGTTGTGGTCCATCACACCTAAACAGGACCAAGCTGAGAAAGATTGTGTTCCTACAAAAAAGTACTGAGTTGCAGAAAAAAACCAAAATAATAGCAGCTTTTCCTCAGAAAGGATAACTCCTGGAACATCATGCCCCTCAAGGTGAGATCCGCACCGCGCCCACAGTTTTGGCCTTCCGAAAAGACCTGAAGACCTGGCTCTGCCAACTGGCTTGAGGCTCCAATGGGGGCATGTCATTCTGGAGTTGGTTAATTGACTAAGACAAGACCCCACCTCTTGCCCATGTGTATCTCGCTCGCTCCCTCCCCATCTTTGTCAATTTTAAATCAAATTTAATGTTACTATTGTTTTAATGTTTTATATTGATGTTTCATTGATTGATTATAAGCCACCTACAGTCACCTTGATAGGCAGCAATAAACATTTAGCAGTTTTTGAATCTGATATATGGCCACATGTAAAGCAGAATGAATTAGTAATATTAATTAAATTGAACTGTGATGTTAGTTATCTTCTAACCTGTAACTGCTAAGCTACTGAAAGACATTTTTGTTTCCTGTAAGCAAATTTTTGTACGTGGTGGCTTATCTTGTAGTTCCAGTCACAGAAGTAACATTTTCTTCATCATACACAGTGTATACGCATACACAGCCATGGGAACGCATAGCACTAGGAAGATTCCCCACAATTTCCCATTTATTACACTCAGGATCATATTTCTCAATGTTCTGCAGGTATGACCCTCTGGAAGAGGAATAGCCTCCTGTTACATAGATACATCCATTCATGACGACTGCGCTGCCTTCCATCCTTCTTTCTATCATATCAGCCTTTTGAGTCCACACATTTTGCTCTGGATCATAACAATCTGTGATTGTCGTCTGACCGCCCACAAAATACAGTTTGTTTTCCAGTGCAATGGAACATAATCCATACTCTACAGCAAAACAAATGAATTATTAACATTGTCCATTATATTCTGAAGAATTTAAAAAAGAAAGGAGGCCTAACAATTGACCAAAATAGAATCTTCATCTAAACATTCTAATATAGTTCTCTGCTGATTTCAAGAATTTTGGATTTAGATTATGATTTGTAGCCACATTTTGCTTAACTGAGATAAGGAAGTTTATCTATTTACTTATATACAGATATATTCTTCAGAAAAAGGGCTTCTTCAGCATCATACAGGAAAGTCATGAATAACTTGTTATTGCAAAGAAGTTGAACATAATAATTAGTGAGGGCATAAAAAAAATGAAACATCAGTACAATATTATTAAGTAAAGAATAAAAAGGGAAATAAAAAAACAAAAAAAGCAAGTTGGAAATCTACGTCTATGATGATAATGAAAAATCCTAACAATTTAAATATGCATGTTTATTTACTCTGTTTCTATCCTGCCACATTCCAAGAGCACGTAGTGATTTATAACATCATAACACATCCAAACGATAAAAAAGAAAAGAAAAAAATAACAGATTATCAATATTATTAAAATATTAAAATAATCAACCTCAAAATCACAGAAATGTTATTATACAGCTTCCCAAATGACCTAAATCTTCACTTAAATTAAAAATTCTTCTAAACAGTTCTTCTGAATACTTAAAAAAGGGTGTGATATGTTTCTTGGGTCTACAGCCGGAAGCACCAATTTCTAGCACTCCTGAATACTATGTGGGGGAAGGAATTGTCAAAATATCTATACAGAACTCATGAATTGAAAAAGTAGATTTCAGATGGAATGGAACTTCTATAGGTTGCCAGGTCACAGCCATATACGGCTTTATTTGTCAAAACTAACACTTTGAACTGTACTCAGAAGCCTTTCAGCATTACTGTATGGTTTGAAAAGCAAATTACACATATGTGGATGGCTGCATTCTGTGCCTATGGAAACTTTTAGGTAGTCTTCAGAAGAGCCCCATGGAGAACACATTGCAGAAATCTACACAAGAGATAATGAGGACACTGGTATCTGTCATCAGGATCTTTTTCTGCAGGATTTGCAACCAGTATATCAGCTAAATCTAGGCAGATTCTCCTTGAAAAACACCAGAAGGATGTCCCTTTCAGAATCATTTGCATGTTAGCAAGGAAGAAGACTTCAGGTCAGTGGAGGACCCCCACAGAGGAACTATTGACTTTCTTAATGGCCAGGAGATGTTAATTCTTGAGGCCAGTTTTTAATTATTAATTTTAATATTAATCAAATTAATAATACTAATATTAAAGCCATGGGCTTTTGAAAGGGAAGGAAATATGAGAGTCAAAACTAACAATGATCATGTCCACAGTACTATATGCTAGTTTTTTTTGTACAGGGGCCAAACTGATGTACAGTGATTATACTTCCTTTTACAGAATAAGGAACAAAAAAGATGGGTTTTCCTATTTTAAGTGTAAGCCACCAGAGACATTCTGGAGTCAGAATGTCTTTTAAAGCTAATAAATAGTAAGTAGGTAAATAAATAAATAAATAAATAGATTTACTAGAAGGGGGAAGAATTTTACTTCAGAATTTTGGATTTCTTTTGTTTTTTGGCTATTCTACGTGGAGGCTAGACAGCCATCTGTCCAGGATGCTTTAATTGGGTAGGAATTGGACTAATTACTTAAATGGCTTTTTTCAGCTCTATGACTCACATGTAAATACTTTCAATGGGAGAACAAGTGCACAGTATTTATTTAAGTTGTTTAGTAGAAGCAAAACTTACCTGGATATGAACTTGTGGCGATTATACTCCATTCATCAATATCTGAGTTGTACTGTTGTATTTTATCATAAGTGCAACTTCCCCGATAACCATAATGGCCTCCGGTGACATAGATGACTTCATTCAGGACACAAGCAGTGGCATTTCCAACACCTATTTAGTAATACTAAATTTGTAAAAGGCTTTTAAAAAAATTATATTCAGCCAAATTTCCATCAACAGACTAGTAATATGATACATACACACAATTATAAGATAATACATGCACAAATGTGTCCATCATCCAATATGTCCACCCTTTAAGATAAGCAATATTATGCAAAGCACAGCAAAAGATTAAAAAATAGTAAACCAAAGAAATTAAACACATAGGAAAAGGAAAAAGAACTAATTTTAGTTTGCATGTACACAACTTCCCATATCTTTTACTTCCCATATCAATTACTTTCACTTTCAGTATTTACTCTTTGCACTAAACATTACCTATCTTCCAGCATTTGTGCATCGTAAGATGTTTCATTTTTAGTATACATTCTATCATGGAATACTAATTTATCTATTTGCTCAGGGGTTTTTTGGCCATATATAATTTGCAATTTTAGTGTCAAAGACACCTTATTCATTTTTGGATACATTATTTTTCAGATCCATACCTTGTTGCATTGCATAACCTATTTAATAATTGCTGCAAATAATGTGAGGTCTCGACCAAAAATACAGCATGATCTGCATACAAAGTACCCAAACATTCATATCTCTAATATGTAATCCTTGCATTTCGTATACCTTTAGCCATGTATGAAATACATTAATATACTGAACAGTGAAGGAGGCATCAATATATCCTTGTTTTACTTCCTGATTAATGATGAACTATTCCCTAAACCAGTGTTTCTCAACCTTGACAATTTTAAGGCATGTGGACTTCAACTCCCAGAATTCCACAGCCAGCAATTGTCAAGGTTGAGAAACACTGCGCGTCTAAACATTCTGTTTATTCTCACATGTGCTTTATAGGTATCCTCATTTAATGATTCTAACTGGGATCAGCAACTCCATCTCTAAGTGAAGCGATTCAGTAGCATATCATGTGACCATCAATCCATTAGTGATGGCAGTTCCAACAATCCCAATTGGGGTTGTTAAGAGAAGAATCACCCACAGTCATTAAGTGAGATATTTGTGACCATGACTTGCAACCTCCTATTGGCTTTCTCATTGACTTTGTCACTGACTGACTGACTCAAGGTCACTCACCTAGCTTCGTACTTAAAGGGAGAACTAGATCACACTGTCTCCCGCTTGCTGCCTTAACCACCACACTAAACTGGCTCTTATGGGAGAGATATAATTGATAAAAACGATGATCATTTAAGCACAAAGCTACACTAAACATAACTGATATACAATTAAACTATTTAAATGCAAGCATATTAACTTAGGCAAACAGGCAAATCTTAAGAAAGTGCCAGCCTCACCATTGGATGTGATTAACAGTGGAACTGGATGTAGTAATTGTATCCATATCCCTTAGAAAGGAGATAAAGACAGAGGGGAGATTTCTGAAGAGGGGAAGATAATAACTCCCTGGTTCCTGGTATATATTGTGGAAGAACTTAAGCAATTAATTAATTTTTTTAGCCTGGAGCTACTGAGCATAGTCAGAATATAAGCTGTTAGAGCTTATCTTTGTTTTTGGGTTTTTCTCTGTAACCAATCATATTTTTAGATGCCTGCATTTCTTGTTGCTTAATTATAAATATAACCTATTGACTTTGTATCAGAGTCTTGCCATGAGATGTTACTAAACATGTCCAGGTATGCTTAAGCTGACTTTGTACACCTATCATAAAATGTTTGGAGCCTGAATTATTCTTGTGTGCTCCTTTAGTAGATAAACAAACATTATTTTGAGAAGGGAGAGAAAATTTGTAAGTCAAAAAGTTCACACTTTCTCTAACAATTACACATTGCCTAGAATCATGATACGGATGGATGGATGGACGGACAGATGATGGATGGATGATAGAGGCAGAATACAGAAAGACAAAGTAGTGAACTTTCACTTCCTGCTCTCCTTATAAGAAATATTTTTATCCCTTGAGAATGAACTACTGTAAAAATGCTGGAACCGTCTGTCTGACCATACTTAATGTGACATCTGTTTTCTGAGGTTGTTCACATCATTTTCAAAATGTCAAATGTGACCATGGATCCCAAATGATTGGGCCACCTATTCTAACCAAACCTTAATATTTTATTAGTACCTATCCAAATAGAAGTGGGAAATAATGCAGTTTCATTTAAAGATACATGCAGAACTGAATTAACAAGTTATGCAGCAAGCTGATTACCTTTAATCATGTTTGCAATTGGGAACCATTTCTTTCTTAAAGGATCATAGAATTCCGCTTCTTCAGCTGGAGCCCCTTTTCGATAACCTCCCAGAGTATAGATACAACCACTTAAGGTAACTGCACAGTGGTAGTATTTTGCATTAAGCATGGAGCAGCCTTCAGTCCATTCATCAGTTTCAAAATTGTATATCCACATTAAATCAAGGGCTTCTATATTGTCTGTTCTGTAACCTCCAGTCACGTAAATATTGGGTCCCAGGCTTGTCACTGCATAGCTTTCTCGTGTGTGATCTGGCATATCTGTTCCCTGGACCCAAATATTGTTTACTGAATCCCATATATGCACTTCAGACAAAGGGTGCCAATAATAACCCCCAATCACATACATAATAGTGGTAGATCTTTTTGTAACTGCTCTTGGCTTGGGGCTTAATACACTACGTATTAGAGATCTGATTTTATTTTCCTTTAACTGGTATTTCTTGTACAAGCTGAGGGCTGATTTCAAGTACATTTCATCTGAATCAATTTCAAGACACCTCAACAGATCATAAATGTATTCGATCCTGCTGTCCACATCAAAGGCAATCCATTTGGCAATGGGCTCTGTCATTTCTTCTTCTTTCCATATATCAAGCTTCTTTCTGGAGAGAATGAACTGGAGTTTCTTGTTGCTAATCTCTAGAAATTCTTCTCGTCTCCACACTTCTTCAAATCTGGACAATATTATCCTTCTGGATTCCTTCTCCAGTTCTGAGCAGACATGGAATTCTGCAAAGGAGTGCATTCCTAAACAATTGTCAAGGTCTAAATGTCTGATCAGAAACTGCTCACAGGCTTTTTTGACAGAAGTGAACTGAAGATGATCAGCAGCTTGAAGGAGGCTTTGAACATTTTGTTTTGTTATCTGGATCTCTGATGTGTACGTGTACATCACCAGGGATTCTAGTATTGTAGGACTGAACAAAGAAAGATAAATCTGATCCTTTGACTTTTCTTTCATGTCAGAGGTAAACATGGCTTTGAAATAGTTGCTACAAGCAGCTAGTACAGCTTTATGGCAATGGAATAGCACATTGGGTGCACACTGAAGGGTAATATCAGTGAATAACCCTTCGAGATAGAACGTCCTGAACGCATCCAAAAACTCTATAGGATGAGAGAGGTCTTTGTATCTATAGGTATAGTCCCCCTGCTCAGTCAGTGCCATCGCTGAAATAAAATATCAGAAACAACATGGCAGTGAGGTTCATGTACTCATTCCTATCAGTACCCATTCAGATATAAGACTTTCTGATTTCAATGGCAGAATCTTTTTGTACATAATTTACCTTTTATGCTCACATAACGATCACAATTTAAAAAATGCAGCACATCAGATCAAGAAGCACATTGGGTAAAAAAGAAAATGCAAAGCCACCAACAGCAATATATTCCCTTAAAATAAAACCATCCAGAAATAATTTGTTTTAAGTTATTAAACATTACTGGTCTCAGCTCTTCAAATGTCTTCACTGCCTCAAACAACTCTAACTTTCTTTCTTGCTCTTCCAAGCAGTACCTCACATCTGTCCCAGAATTTGATGCCAGCATCAAATGATCTTCCAATCAGGCTCACATTTTCAATGACTGGTCTCCATAACTTTCCTAAATGAAGCCTGCAGGACTGGAGGAAAGATTAGTCCTCTTATTTTTTTTGATAATAAGAATTCTACACAGATCACATATGTGTATATCATATTTTACATGTACATGATCTATGCAGATTTCTTATTATAAACAATACACATTTATGTGAGCAATTTCTAATATAAGATTTTCTTTCAAACATTTTACCATACAAATTAATTCAATCTAAATTTTGGAAACCAAGACAGTGAGCCTATTTAAATCCCTCTAAACAGAACAATAAGCAAATATAAATCCCACTTAGTTGGACCTATTAGTTAAATTGTTCATAATTTTGTTAAAATACACTATTATCAGATCTAGGAATGCCAAGAATGTAAAAGCACTTTAATTTAGAGTTCCAGAAGAAAAGTGTATTTTCCATTTTTATCATTGTCATCCTATTTTATTTGTTCATTTTAATCACCATTATTCATTCAATTATTCTTCCACAAACCTGAAAGTAATATATAGCAATATAAGGGGTTCTAGTGCTACTATTTAAAATACACTATAAAAGGAGTTGTAAAACCAACAATTAACCATGCAGGACTGTGAAAAGAACAAATTAACCCTTCTCTCCTATGTACATATTTAACTACGGTGTGCATTTACCTAGGAGTAGATACCATGTAGTCCAGTCCAGTTTACTTTTAGATAAACAGGCGCGTAATTATGCTGCTTCTTAGGACTAACAATATATTCTCATGCATCTCAAAATTAAGCCCCGCTGACTTCAACAGCCTTATTTTCAGGAACGGGGGTATAAAACTAGATCATGCTGCACATCGCTAATCCGACAGGGGATTTATCGCAACGCAAACACAATACTGTAGTTCAGTGCAATCTCTTTGTAGGTATTAGATATTTCTGAGAGCAGAAAAGCAACATTTGGAACTTTTAAGTATCCCAAAAGCGGCATGAACAATAAATAAATCGGCAGCGGTAAGACCAAATGCCCTCAACCGATTTGTCTGTCATTTCGCGGGGCGATATTGCGTTGGGGAATAAAAAACCGACGATAAAGATTCCGTCTTTTAAAAAGCCTTCTATACAGCTGTGGTCGCCCGACCTAGCGAACCACCAAGTCGCCAGCCAGTTGTATGGCTCGTATCGAGCCAGCCCCAAAACTAGGGTTAACTCTAATAAGGCTAACCACGGTTATCTTGCCCTGGGAAATGCAACCATCCAATTCAAAAAAAGTCCAGTCAGCCGCAGGTCCTCATTCTTCAGCGGCTGTCATTTATGTCGACAAATTATATATGGTTTATCCAAAGTGTCGTTCGGCCACCCCGAATTTGCTAAAGACTCACCCACCTGCTCTCCAAACTGGGTGAGAGGCAGAAGCAGAACTGGGTTCGAACGAGAAAAGGAGCAGCTTTCAAAAATCTGAGCACAAAGGGGAGGGGGAAGGAGAAGGAGGAGGACCTTGGCACTAAAAGGCGATTGCCCGAATCGAAGCCCCCCACGGGCTAGGGTTGGTCGTGGGGCATTGTGGGAGCGCCTTACCAGCCGCTCGGCACTCTTGTCATTTTTTTTTTATTTCCCGCGCGTGGAAATGAAGGGGGGGGAACCTATTAAACAGGGCACCGGGGACCAGGAGGCGCAAAGCTCATGTTCGTTTTGTTCCCCTCTCCCCCCCTCCCAACTACTCCGTTCCCGCCCAACCCGGTCCGAATCGATGCGCGCTTTGGAACAAAAGAGAAAGCTCGAGCGTGGGCTTTCGAGCAGGTTGCAAACTTTGAGGGAAGCAGCTTCGCCGCGCGCCCGGCCTCCTGCAAGGTCGGCTGCAATCGGCTTACTACTATTCAGAGAAGTGAGAGGAATAAAGACGTGCAAGAGGAACCCGCTAGGAAGTCCTCCACCAGTCTTTCTAGGAGGAAAAGGGAGGAAGGGCTCGGCGTCCTTTTCTCCCCGGCTGCCCGGTTGACTGACTATCTTTAGAAGAAATTCAGATTCGCTGCTGACCGGCTGTAGGCTATAGAAGGAACAGATGGAGAGCCGAGTTCCTATTTTAGTGTCTCAGCTGGCTCGGCTCGCCTCCTCCTCCTCAGGCCAGGCCCCTCTGCTCCCAATAAGGCCATGCTCAGCTTCTGCCGTTCAGCTCCCCTCCCTCTCGTCCCCAGAGAAACCTTTGCCTGCTGCTTCTGGGCCTCGGGGGCAAAAGGAAGGGTTGCCTTAAAAGCGTCTGTTGGGCTACGAATGGTGGCCGTTTTGCTTCCAATATCTAAAGTGGAAACAATAGATTTGCTTATCCAGAGCTCAGCGGGGGGGGGGGCTGGGGAACACTCCTGGGGTATAAAATTGCTCTGTCTCCTGTTCCTGCCCAGCCGCTCCCAGAGATGCAACAGAAGCTGTGATAGCAACATGCTGGTTATAAAGCATTTCTAAATAGTCTTTAGCCAGTTTGGGTAGGTAGTGGTTAAGGCATCAGACTAGAAACTGGGAATTCTTGTCTTGCCTTCCCCACAGCCAGTTGCATGACCTTGGGCCAGTGACTCTCTCAGCTCTAAGGAGGCAATGGCAATCACTTCTGAAAAATCTTGCCGAGAAAAAGTCTAGGCAATGGCCTGGATCAAGACTGACTTGAAGCCATCACCACCCCTAATTGCCTCTTTCCTTGGTAAGTAGAATCTGTCAACCAAGAATGAAGGGCATGATTCATTACTTTTCTGGTTTTCCTATCCAAGGAAGACTTAGACCAACACTCACCCACATCCTAGATGAATATATAGCCCTGAAATGTAAAAAATAAACAGGAGAATGTAGTTTACAAAATTGAGTATATTGCTGAAAAGTTCTGTTTCTTGCCATTCTTTTCAGAACAGACAATAATTGAAAAAATTACAAGCAACATATAGTATATATAACAGAAATTCACTTAGCAAATGTGGCATAGATTTGTTCCTTCACCGTTGTAGGGACATTATTTTCCACAGAATCCATATTTTTTTTTGCTTTTTAATTATAGTAATAAAAAGAAAGAGCAGAACACAAACTTTTTTCTCTTCTCTTTGTCATTGTATCTTCACTCTCATCAGAATCTATAATTCTTGAAAAATTCCAAATACTAGGAATACTAGAAAGAATGTAAGAATTAAATTTGGGACAAATATATGGCAGCTTAAGACTTGTTTGTTTATGAAGATTCTCAGTCATCCAGGTCATGATTGTCCCAAAAGTGCCTTTTGAAAAAGCACCTTTGGATTGAGACTTGTTTCAGGAATCTCAAAGAAATCATAGAAAGCATCCAGAGAAACAATGATTGCTGGGTTTTGTTCTATATAATACTGTTATATCAATTTCTTCTATTTTTTTTCTGATCCTACTAGATCTAGCATATTTCAGATCCCCTCAATTAAACAATGTCATCTTGTTGAAAACATAATGCCAGTGCCTACTTGTGGAACAGCATACTCAAGAGATCTGGTTGGTCCCAACCCTGTTAGCCCTTCATAAGGTTCTCAAGATCAGGCTGTTTCCTCAGACATTTGGACCAGAAGGTTAGGAAAACACTGTTGCTGATATGAGTTTAAGATTAGAATGTATTATTTCCCTCAAGAGTCATTAGATATTACTTATAACTGTTGGTTTTTAACCTTTTACACCACCCAGTCCTGCTCTGAGATAGGGCAGCCATATGAATTATTCAAATAATAAATAGCAGAACTCTGATAGTTCAATTATAAATCCTGCCCAAGATGGATGCACAATGGTTGAAAGCACAAGCAATAATCCATGGGTCAAGATAACTGTTAAAATCAGCATTCACATTTATCAAATAAGCAGATCTTTAGACCATGTAATAGGGTCCTCATCTATGCTGGGAAGGAATGCAAATTAAGCTTCATTAAAACTAGGGGAGAAGAATTTGTTAGAAAAAGCTTTAATATATAGTATCCCCAACAGAGGAAGAAATAGAAAACCAATGTTCTTTTTATACTAATCAGCTAAACAACTGTTAGGTCCCATCACAGTATGTTTCTGTTGATTTATATAATCGCTATATTCTACAGTTAAGGCAAAATATTTAACAGGTAGATTCAGTAATAAAATATTTAATTGTTATCTTTATAAGCATACATCTTAAATAAAAACTACAAATGGGATAAATTAATCGTTATTTTAAATAGTACACATATTCCAAAAGTTCGAGTAGGCACATAGCATTTCAAAGAATAACAAGTGAAATATGGATTTCTAAGCAAATTCATTGTTCATTATATCAAATGTACTCAGTATCTGAATCTTAGCAGATAGTTAAATAATCTACTCATTAAGACCAACATAAATTAATATCTGAGAGGAAGCTAATATTGAGCTAATCTTTTTTTCTTCTTTCACCAATTTTAAACTAAAAAAATACATTATCCATATATACAATTCCACACATTAAACCAATTTTCACACATTCACTTTTTGCAAAGGCTAAAAGATCAACACAAAACTGCTTATCTATTTATGCCCTTTTTCAAAACTTTCAGATATAATTTTCACATTAAGAGGAGTTTGGCAGCACCTTTTCTAACTAACCAATCTTACTAAAAGGCATAAATTGTCATGAACTGAGTTTCAGCTTATGAAGGCTTATGCCTCTAAATAACAGTTACTAGATGGAAAGGATGATGTCATTATTATTTGCACATAGACTAATACAGTCCTCCTCTTCCAGTATCTTCATATTTCTAACAAAATTACATAAAAAGAAAGATTATACCTCGCAGATATTGGCAAAGATAAATGTGATGCCTTAGTAATAGACTGAAGCAGTAATTTTATATTTGTGGCACTGACATTATACTCTTCATTTTACATAATTCTTTAAAGGATTCAATTCTAGGTAGTTTATTTAGGAATAAATCCCACTGGCCTAATTAGGGATTATTTCTCAGTAAACATGCACAGAATTGAACGGAATTCATATAAAGTATTTTGCTTATGAAAAGAAATACATATCTTTCATTGCATCATCTCATTTGCATTCTTATGATTTATTTGCAGATAAAACCAACACTTTTATGGACAGATATTATTAAACAGTATTCAGTATTGCCTACATTTATTTGTAATGGTGCATTACCTTTAACCAGATTGACTGATGTAGAATATATTTGTTAAAAAGGAGAAAAATGGATATGATCTTATTTTTATTTGATGCCACTAAACTGCAACCAATTGTTGTATTGTAATTGGTTACAGAAAATAATCTGGACCTCTACAGTTTTACAGGACTATGAAAGTATTTTTCAATTTTAAGAAATAATGTTCTGTTATTTTCTTAAAAGCAGCAAACGTTAGCAATTATTTGAGTGAGAGTTCCACTCACATAATGGGATTTGCTTCTTTTTCCTCTTTACTGATAAGAGCTAATTTGAGTGTATGCTATGCTGCCACAGGCCAAATGGCTGCCCAATATATAATTAATCAGAACCTACTATCATATATCATAGAACAGACTTTAATAGTTCATCTGAAATGATATTGATGACTATTATATTTAATAATTTTGGCATCTGCTTCATTAAATTATTCATTCTATCAACCATACACTGATTTTGTACAAGGAAAGGGAAGACAATCAATTAAAATTATCTAAACAAAATGTGATTTTTCTAATATCTATAAAGAAAGGATTCTACTATGTGAAAGTCAAGACAGTAGCACCAATTTGCTGTTGTTAAGCTAAATGGGAACTATTCTTTTATAAGCAATTCTAAGTAGGCAAGAATCTCAACACCAGATGACCAAACAAGAACTGATGCATCCAATGGAGCAAGATCCTGAGCTAATTGAGAAATCATTTTCTCCAAAATATATCCATGGCGTGGCATAACAACATCGCTCTTTTTTAAACACATCACAGGACACAGATCATTCCCACCATCACCTATATATACAATTTGTGAGTATTTAACTCTTGACGTTAAATTGCTTTCTAAAAATTCTTCTAAAACTTTCCTCTTACATAAATTTATAGGGCACTTTGTACAATCATGGATATGACAATTCTGCACAGAAAGATAGCCAAAGCTATCAAAACTTGCAGGGTTTGTAAACACTTCATCAAATAGTTGAAAAACATTTGCTGTTTTTAAAATCCAGTCAATAAAGACAGTATTGGAATCTGATATAATTATGCAATCAAAAAAGCCTTTGTGTTTGCCAATAAAATCTAAAAGATCTATCATTCCTGAAGTAAATGGGATTGCTGTCATAGTCCTTTTCATCTCTTCTTCTGTTACTCCATTATCTCCCAGATATTTAAAAACTCTATCCATGTATTCCGTCCAGTGTCCTTTTTGATAGGAGTTTTTTATTTCATCAGGAAGTTTTGAATCGGGGGCACATTTAACAATCCAGGTATCACTGTTCTCATCTACAATTGTATGATCAAAATCAAAAACCAGTAGGAATCTCATTGTTGTTGGATATAAGAATAATCTGAAAATGAGAAAAAATAGTTTAATTATTAATGAAATCATTTATATAATCAAATGTTGATAGTTTTAAAAAAACAATTTTCAGCAAGAAAAAAAATCATGATATTTTTTAAAATGCATCTGAATGCTTCTCAAAATATAAGAGTCCACGCTATATACCAAATCAGTTTGTTGTGGCATCTAAACTGGGCATCATTTACATACAGCATAACCTGGCATATGTTTCAAACATAATGTCCACAATATGTTTTATACAATGTATAAGCTATAAACAATGCAGAAAGTTAGGGATACTCAAAGCATTTCAAGTTTTCATTTTAGTCCTCTGTATGTGATATTTATATTGATTTACCTTAAGTAACAAAGAATATACAATAAACTATAAAATACAGATAGTCTCACTTAATGACCAGTAGTTTAATAATCATTTGAAGTTATCATGACTTCCAAAAAGTTAATTATGACCCATCCTCAATGTTATGACTAACACACATCCAAACACAACGCACACCACGGTCATGTGATTGCATTTTGGACAACCGCCTCAGTTATGACCAGTTGCAGTTTCCAGCAAAAAATGCCCATTTAAGAAAATGGACTCACTTAATGACCATGTGGTTCACTTAACAACTATAGTGACTCACTTTATGACCATTGTAAATGGTCATAAAATCAAGACAAGTCATATGGCTTGCTTTACATTCACAGTAATTTAAGGCCAAAATTCTGGGCTCAGTTGTCATTAAATGAGGACTACGTATATAGCATATAAAGTAATCATTAGTCAAAACCAAAATTCAAAGACAGGATATTTGATTACATTATCAAAAAGTATAGAACTGACACAGCTAAAGATAAGATTTATATTGATGTGCAATTTTTAAAAAAAAAATCAACCACAATACATAAATGATACTCACTGGATGATGTTTGAAACTTGAATTCATTGGAGTAAATCAAATAGAGTGAATTTATCTCAATTCTGCCAGTAAATAACTGCAAGCCATTTAACTGTACAGAGACAGAAGAAAATGTATGGTCTTATTCTGATCTGGTTTGAACACAGAAAGTCACAGAGGTTTTCCCTGAGCATTTTACCAACAATCTTGTGCGAGACAAGATTTGGCTTAAAGGTAAGTTAGGCTAATCTTAACCTGTGAAGTTCATGCATAAACAAAATACAAAGCTCATATTATTTCACAGTTTAGAATAATACAATATAATGAGATAACTCTATGCAACAAAGGGGATTCTTATCAAACAAAGGCCAGATTCTACACATCATAAAAACATAGTACATATATTTTACAGATATTTCCAAAACATCAACTCCTTGAATCCATTTGTAGCATGGGATTTTAAATGAAAGAGCTTAGTACTTTCCTCCAACCAGGTTTCATCCAAATATGTTGGAATAACAATGGATGTCAACTATTAGAGCTAGAAGACATTCAACATCACATTAACATGAACCTGACTTTAGAGTCTCATTGTATGGATTTTACTTTTTAAAAAATCTTGGCTAGATGATTTGACTGAAAAGCAAATTCACCAAACATGCCTGGACTCAGTGACTTCCATATTGTGTCACGGAATCACTTTCAAAATATTGTAGCACACAAGATCAAAGCAAGCTGAAAAGAAATGTATGGGCAATTAATGTAGCACTGAATCTGACTTGCTTTTGGCTCTTTGGAAATAGGCAAAGAACGGAATGAACATCTATACTCTCCTGAGTAATTTACAGTCACTGGAGCAAATACATTTACATTTAAAAATAAACGTTTAGTTATAAGATCAACAAAAGTACTCATTTATTTGCAAGCCCCAGACAGCCTGGCAAGTATGAACTACTAGAGAAGCAATTCATCTTGTTCTTAGGGACAAGAATGGAATGTAAGTCAGAAATAGCTCAGAGCTTTGCCAAGCATTAGCACATAGTAGGGTCAGCCAGGTGAGAATCTGTGCAGTACAGGCCGCATTTGCAAACGCTAATTAAAGAGCCCGTATTTCGCTAAGCTTTTCCACTGCCCGCAGCAGTCTGTAAACATTTTAAGGTTCTTTTTGCACGATCGGTATCTTTACAAAAGCCACCAACCGCTATAAAGGCGAACCACCAACCCGTCAGATCGCTCCTTCGCACGGAGTCTTAGGGAAGCAACGCTGCCAGGGACGCCGTGGGAAAACGAGCCGCGAAAGACGCGCGAACGCTCCTCGCGTGCACAGCAGTCACTCATTGCGAGGCAACTAAACAGCTCCGACAGGAGGCCAAAGCCGGCCCGAGGACTTGCCTGGGCCACCGGCCCTGGGGACGCCGCACCAAGCCTATCCCTCGGAGGCAGCCCGTCTTCCGAGTGCACCCTCCCGGCTTCGGCCAAGCCTGGGGACGGGGCGAGAGAGCAAGGCGGTGAGGGCAGAAGCTGTCAGCCTACACAAGTAAGTGGAAGAGGGAATCCAGCCGGCCGTAGCCCGAAAAATGAGAGGAACCGAGAAGCCGGCCTACCGGCATCCAACTCAACGCCCGGGACTCAACTGACTGCCCTGCAACGTCGGTGCACGTCAGATCACGTGAGCGCCCAAACAAGTCTCGCCCCCCCCCAACCCGACAGCAGAGCGTCGCGTAACTTCGCCACGCAGCGGTTCCTGGTTGCCTAGCAACTGGCGAACACCCTGGTGCCTCGCGCCGCTTCGGTTAGTTAGGGAGTCTCGCGGCGGCTTCCTCCTCCCGTCTGCCTTGGGTGCGATGCTTCGTCCCGAGGTGCGATTCGGCAGGCGCAAGGGGCAAATGCGAGAGGCTACGCGTGAGTTTTTGGCGGGGGAAGCAGAGAAAGGGAGGAGCGAGGGGTACTTGGTGCTCTCTGATCCTGGTTGTTGTTTTTTGCAGACGTCTCATTTCCCAAACTGGGTAACATTATCAATGCTCAGTCAATGCTCAGAATTCCTCATTTCAAGCCTGAGCTACAAATATTCTCCTTTATTGGAGGGAGGATTGCTGGGCGCACGAGCCAGAGCTCAACGACCGCAGTTATATCTCTGTCCACCGATTGATTGATTTCCTCAGTCTTCGCTCTGTCGGAGTGAGAAAAAGAAGACGATGCGTCAGATTTCCTTGAGATGATCTTAAAAGCTCACACACTGTTTCACAGAATAATGGATAATTAATACTGTAGTGGTATTAAGTCTGTGTTTTTCAAAATTCGGCCACTTAAGATGTATGGACTTCAATTCCCAGTTCTCAACATACCAGCTTTGGAATTCTGGGAATTGAAGTCCATACATCTTAAAGATGCCAAGTTTGAAAACCAGTGTTGTGAGTCAACTTTATTTAGCTACGAATTAGTGAATAAGTTACTTTTGGGCATAAGCTACTGACTAACGCTCTCAGTTGAATTAAGCTTTGTTTTTCATCTAATCATGGATAATATTGCAGCCATGCCTCCCAGTTGTAAATAGTGAGAAGTTTCAAATTGTTCAAGTGTGTAGAAAATAGACCACTGAAAGTAATTCCATTTCTGTTTTATGTTGATTCTATATTTTCCTTGTCCATTGGGGTGGAAAAGCATGACATATTCCTCTTTCCCCAATCACCTGGCTTAGCCTTCCCTATTCTGTTTTCCATTACATCTTTTGGGACAAAAAAATTAAATTGTTGCTTCTGAATGAAAATATTTAATATTTAATTAAATCTCAGTACATACATAATTTAGGCATAGTTGAAGGCTCATTAAAGCCATTGTTAACAAAGGATTTATATACATATGCATGTATATATTTACTTGATTTTTATCTCACCTTGATTCTTTTTAAGTAATTCAAGGTGACAAATATATGTAATACAGTTTTCACCTTCTACCCAGCCAGCTTTCATACATAAGGCAATACAAGAATTCACAATCTGCTGGTTTCTAGGCCAGCATCTTAACCACTGCACCAAATTGGCTCTAATGTGTATGTATGGAATTTGTGAACCACTTAATCTGTCACAATGCTGAGTAGTTTATAAGGTAAGAATTAAAAACAAATATACGCCTAGCTTAAAAAGATAAACACCTAATAAGCATCTTACAAGAGTTTGGGTGCTATTCTAACACATTATTTAATTTATTTTTCTTTCTTGCCCAGCAAATGATGATGATGCGATGGAAGGAATATTTCTTCCAGTGGGAGTAGATCTTCACCAGATAACCATTTTGCCCAAAGCAGAATGGCAGAGAATTCAAGACAGTATCACTGCTCGTGAAAGAGAAACAGCACGCATTCTTGCTGAAAAGAAAGCACGAAAAGATTTGCACTTAAAGTCTCAAGCACTTGTGAAAAATTGGACCCACACTATTGCAGTAAGAAGAATTTGTGAATACCAATGCTTTCGACTTCACTTAAGACATATCTGTTCACCAGGGCTTTGACTGATATTACTGCTTATCTCTAGTGGCATCTGAGGGCTGTTGCTACTTTCATCAGAATGACGAAAGCAGCATCGCACAGCAAACTTTGCCCATTGGGAGTTGGAATTTTCTAAGGTAGAACATAACATACTAAGTTGGAATAGAGCTGATGACAAACATTCTATGAAACAGAACAACAGAGAACCCACCACATCCTAGAAAATTATCCCATGAGAAGGGAATAGTTCAGAAAGAATTCCAAGGGAAAATGGTATTATTTTATTTAAAACTATATGAGTATTGTTTACATCTTTAAAATGTACCAGTTATCCTATTTCTTAAAATAATATCCCTAATAAGATTATTTATACATTCATCACAGGGTATGTCACAACAAAAACTGAAAGCCAAAAAAGTACGGCAAGAGAGAGAGGAGGAAGAAAAAAGAAAGGCTGACCTTGAAGAAGCAAAATACCAAGCACAGAAGCGAAAAGAGAAAATAGAAGAAGCCAAATTGCAACAGTATTTTGAAAATGATAGAGTGAAAAGTTTTCATGTAATATAGATTACATTTTTTCTTCCTTTTAATTTTGGGCTACATTGTAGTGTAGAAGTGTAAACTATTAAATATTAAACATATCTTTTACAGAGAGCCTTATTACATTCTGAAGTTTTAAAGGAAAGAGATGCACAGATTGAATTTAAAAAGCAATACAAGAATTTGTACAAAAGCAAGGATGAGGCAATAGAACGTGAACGTCTAAAAGCTGTACAGTTAGAAGAAGAAAAAGCTAAAATGCAGCACATGAAGAGACTGCAGATTGCTAATGATCAACTGGCACAGTAAATATAATACAAATATATTATCTGCCAAGTAAAACTTTCCCCCCCCAAAAAAACAATATAAAAATTAAGCTGTTTTAGTACTTAAGTTTTTTTCCCCCCTTATGACTGCATGTACTTTTTCCTAATTCTAATGACAAAAAAAAAAAAACTAAATCAAACTTTCATTCAGGCACCTTCTAAGTGAGCAGCTGTTGCAGTGAGCAGGATCCTCCTCTTGTGTACATACCAGTCTCTTTCAGGGTATGCAACTTTAGATGAAATGCAGAAAATTAACAAGTACAGATAGTTCTTGACTTACAACCACAACTAAGCCCAAAACCTCTGTTACTAAGTGAATTTTGCCTCATTTTACGACCTTTCTTGCCTTTCTCTTATTAACTGAATCACTGCAGTTGTTAGTAACATGGTTGCTAAATGAATCTGGCTTCCCCATTGACTTTGCTTTGCATTGACTTTGCTTGTCAGAAGGCTGTAAAAGGTGATCACATGACCCTGCGACACTGTACATGTCATAAATGTGGGTAAGTTGCCAAACATCTGAAATTTGATCATATTACCATGGGGATGCTGCAAGGGTCATAAGTGTGAAAAATGGTCATAAGTCACTTCTTTCAGTGCCATTGTAACTTTGTACAGCCACTAAACAAACTGTTGTAAGTTGAAGACTACCTGTAGTAAATAAAGAAACAAAAGGCAGGATGCGAGAGAAAAGGAAAGCTAATTACATCTAGCTAATTAAATCTAAGATCATTAACTATCCCTACACAGTCTTCCCTCTTTGCAAAACATGCTTAATTCCACCATACCTGTACAATGCTCTATATGTTGTCTTTTCTTTAAATTTATTTTCTTTCCTATGTCATCTTTTTTTTTTAACCATACGTTTCCTACATATCCCATTCTCACTGCATTCATTTTACTTTTCTGTTTCCCTTGACATATTCTTGTTTATTTTTCCACCAAGATCCTCTCCTTCAGAACTCCTTACTTTTCCTTTTCTCAGTGTTTCACCACCGGCAGATTAATCACTCTTAGATTCAGATCCCTCATCTTCTAAGTCCAACAGTTTTTCATGATAACAACAAATTATGCTTTCAGACTCATTCTGTATTCATGTATGTTTGATGCTTCATCTACTTATTCAGAACAATTATTTTTAATAGTACATATTCATTAATCATCATTCATTAATGGATCTTCAAATGGCCCAATAATTTTTATTATGTTCTGGCCTTGTTTCCTTTCATCTAATTATGTTGTCTTGCATAGCAACTGATTCATCAGGATCACATTCATTTAGAATGTTGCACAGTTGTTCCCCAAACTCATTTTTGATGCTGATGTTATTATGATACTCTGGAGCATAATAAGCAGTTATCAGCAGCCTATGAATTTCATTATTTCATATATACATACACAGTAGTCTAGATGATACCAGCTCATTTTTTCTAAAACATTTTAGCTTTTTCATTCATAATTCATTCATACTTAAACCTACACTTTGACCTCCATACCTGCATTCCTCAACTCCAAAGATTAGCCCATCTTCATTCAGATTGCTTGCATCCTTCCCTTCATGTTCTTTACTCTGTACTCCTTTCATATATCCAATTATAGTCTTCTATATAGCAGGTCAGCGGTTCAAATCTCACCGGCTCAAGGTTGACTCAGCCTTCCATCCTTCCGGGGTAGGTAAAATGAGGACCCAGATTGTTGGGGGCAACGTAAATATATATATACATTGCTTACTGGTGTACACCGCTTAGAGAGTGCTTGCACTTAAAGCGGTATATAAGTCTCATAAATAAATAAATAAAATGAACATCTACAGATAGGTCAGTGAATTATGACATAAACTGCTCATTATAGCTTTGGCCAATTTTGGTATATATATATAGTGTACTAATGCAGAATATGCACATTTTTTTCTCCCTGCCAAAAATTACTCTTCTCCCAAAAACAACTTGCTAGGAAGTGAAAAAGGTCTGGCCTATCGGACAGATTTGGTACTAAGTAATTTTGGAGGTCTCTTGAAGTACAAGAAATCTTGGTGACAATTTGACTGAAAGTTCAGCAATATTTAGAGAATGATAGACTCTCCACTCCTGCTTTAGTCAATTAATGCTCATTCTCTTTATGTGTTTTTAGGATAAAGCAACATGAACATTTAGCAAACATAAGCAAGTTAGAAGAGAAAAAAGAAAGGGAAGAAATTCAGGAGTTGACCAAGTTATATCAATTGGAAATGCAGGAAAAAGAGCAAGCACAACGTGAACAGAAGATTAAACGAAGACAAGCCCATCTGGTATGTT